AAAAATGATATATATTTAAATGTTTATATACATATATATATATATATATATATACATGTGAGTGTGTGTGTGTGTGCGTGTGTCTGTCCACAACTGTAGCACGATAACTCGAGTAAAAAATAATCGTAAAAATTATTACGTTTATTGGAATGAGTTCGCGAACCATGATCGAGCTATGTAAACGAGGTTTTCCCATTTTTGCCCTCCAAACATGAATGCAATATTTTCCTAAACCATTTTGTAAAGCTAAAAAACAACTAATTTAGTACATTGAAGCGTTTTTTTACGCTAAATGGTTACGGAGAACATTTCATGGATTGTAAATTTGAAATTACCATGTAATTCTTATAGATGAATAAGTAGACCGTAGTAGTTTGTCTGTTTATGGATATATGTTGATCAAATGTTGAATCTTTTTACATTTCATACTAATTTATTGACATTTTACTAAAAACACCCTTTATTTCATGTAGCAGTGAGTTAACTTAAGAATGTGAGTCACTTGCGCAAGAGTTGTGAGAGTAATGGATTAAATCAGATCACTTAATGGGTAGGCCTACTTTCATTAATCGTTAAGTGACTCTTTTTTTATAGGAGCTGGAGTTTATTGAGCGAGACGAAGCCGACGTCGGGCAACGAGCGAGCGTTGATAATACACTTTAACGAGAAAAATGAAAGAGGGTGTAAAAGACACTTTGGGTCCAAATTATGAACTACAGGGCGTTTTTCCTTTTTACCCAACACAATTTAAAAGTACCGAAGACACTATTTTTGAACAAACCCAGCTCATAATTTGGCACCCCTGGTTTCTTTACTTCATTGCTCATCAGCTGATATGCATTGTTGCATTGTTTCCTAAACGGTTTAGTGTTATTTGGAATAAATTCAATTAATAGACAATGATATCCTCGATATTAATTCCATAATTTTCCTCTTGAAAGAGTATAAAAATGTAACAGAAATATATCTTAATTGTAAGATATCAAATAATAAATTAACACTAAATTACCCATTACAAGAGAGGTTAATTGTGTAAACAGTCTTATACTGTAGTTTATTTAGCTTAATCTTTTGGTGAATTTCCCATATAGGGACTGAGCTATTACCTAGGTCAAATGTATATACCTGGACCCGGGACCGATTGTATTTTTCTTAATGATCTCCCCAGAGGCCAAAACACTAATATATGTATACACGTCCGTTAGCACGATAATTTGAGTAAAAATTATCCGATTTTAATAAAATTCTGTACAAACGTGGAAAACTACGTTTGTTTTAAATTTTTACCATACAGATAGTGAGCTAAAGGTAGATCTTACAAACTAATAAAGGCTATGTTAGTTAATTAATTTTGGCTGACATTCGACAATAATGAGTGAAGTTTTAAATCTTTCTGGCGACTCAAAGTTTCTGAACCGTACATTATCACTTGAAAACAAGGTCAGTAGCTTTCAAGAAAATGATCACTGCATTAAATAGAGTAAACATGTTTATGTGTTTATTAGTTGTAGACTCGTAGAATAATAAGGTTGGTTCATTCTGCTTTTCAAATTTACAACGAAATATTGATTACCAAAGACAGTTTTTATAAGAATAATAAAGTCAGTTTTTAGAAGAATTACGAAGGTTTTTTCTAATACATAATTAGAAACACATTTTAATACGAATCCGAAATTAATTATTGTACGTAGTAGAGTACAGTCAACGAATTGTCGAGAATTAAACCTTTTTTAAGCTCTGCTTTTGGTATGAAATAATGTTAGAACATTTGTTTTATTAACCATTTTGTTAAATTAGTTTTCTTCATTCCCTCTCTGGTTGAAGTTTGAAGATGTTACCTTAAGATGGTGATATAAATCAAGGTGTTTTAATTAAAGTACCCCTCGGTTTCGAGGTTTGAAAAACGGTGTATAAATCCAAGATAAAATACATTCTTTGCAGGGTAACGACGCAACTAATGATAACTTTGAGGATATTCAAGACCCCAACAATGATAACTTTGCTTTTGTGCGGCTTTGTATTTCACAAAGTCACGTTTAAACGTTTAAACCTTCGATATTTGTCTTGGTAGTGAAAAAGCTCTAAACTTCATCTCTCAACTTGCATAGAATTATTTTATATTTTTTTTACACATCTGCAACGAATTTCATTATGAGGAAATTCTATAATCTGCAAATAATGCTCTGTGGCAAATCTTTATTTAATAGTCAAGTATTTACTAAGACGGTCCCAAATTATGCTATGATTATGTAGATAGTGGTAAAAAGAAAAATTTATTGCAAACTCTGAATGGAAAATTTTGGTGACGTGAAAAAGAAATGAGGTCTTATCTTCCATTCATATATTACTAGACCAGCTTTAATAGAATATTTAATCTTGAACTGGTGAAGTTCTTTTGTTTGTTAATTTAGTGACAACTCTAACTCTACGTATTTGGAGGTAATTTGCTCATTGCTCAATTATTATTCTTTTAGCAAATCTTCCTGAAATTTTGCTCTAATGTTTAAGTTGGGGTAAAATTGAGTTCGCCAACCAGATACTTCTAAACGAGCTAAAAATGTTGTTTTCACAGGAATACGTAGAATAAAATAAAGGGAATTTACATATATTCCGTGTTTTTCTAAGTAGTTTGGTTACTTTTCTGTAGAGCTCCAAACTCGAGTGTCTAAACTTTTTTCCCCGACAGCAGCTCCGAACGAACTAGTTCCCATGACGAACTAACTCTCCCCGAACGAACTAGTTCTCATAACCTTATGTTCATGGGAATGGGGTGTTGAAATTTTTCTATAATTGATCATCTTTTATTTTTCACCCTTAAAATATAGAAATGCCTAATTTGTATTGCAGTCACTGTGTGTGTATAGCTTATTAAATTTGCTTAGTTTGCAGGTTTCCTGCATCGGAGGTATTTACTCTTCAAATGGCCCAGGACAAGGACACAGCAATTCCTTCTCATTTCCAGGATGGTAGGATCTAGTCCTTTTGTGCAGATATATTTTCCAAACACCAAAACATAGCCCCGGTAGTAACATAACACATGGAATATCTTTCTATTTATTCAAGCCAGATTTTACATATTTGTCATTGTGGTTGGTTAATTCACTCACAATCCTGAATACATTAACATAGAGGGTGTGGTTTTAGACGCGAACCTTTATTAATGTGCCGAAAGCCCATTCACACACTCACGATTGGGGACACCATGACAATATTGTTAAAATTTTTGGATATACAATTTATTAACCGGTTGTAAAATACTGTATACACAAAGATTCCACGGTTCTTTAAGAGCCAAGCAATCCCAAACAATGAACAATCGCCCTATGTCACCGTAACCTGTTGACACTCTACAAAATTACGGAATGAAAAATGAACCTCTGTGAGTTCAAATATACCACTACTAAATAAATAGAGTTTGGAAACAAACAGATTTAAGATAAAGGAAGTAAAAAGGAATATAAGATAGGGAAAATCGAAGGAATCTCCTAGACTGCAATCGTCCTTTATAAGACTTGATTCGTTGGTTTTTTTTCATGTCAATCAACTTGATGGTATCTAAATTGGCAATTGTAGTTTCAATTGTTTTTTTGTGTGTTTATCTTTACCTTTTTGAAAATGTTCTTGGCAGTTTAAAAAGAAAATTCAAACCTTTTTCTTGAGTTCACATACGATGTATAGCATTTTTTTAATTAATAAAGCACAGGGATCCTTTTTGTTTTATTAAACCATTAAGATTTAATCCAAGCAAATACATTTTTTTAACATCTGCCAACAGCCTTTTTGTAGACGTAATAAATTTTTTCTAGCAATTTCATTCTGTCATTTTATTTCATATGTATGTGAATAGACAAATTCGCTCATGCAATCATATTTTGCAGTTCTTGTAGAAATTAGCTGAATGCAATTGTTCTACTTGTCAAGAGAAAGTCAACATAGTTTTCCATGATGACGTGGAAACGGAGATTGATAAAATAATCAACATTCTTCTTTCCATCAAGTAAAGATGTTGTCAAAAATGTCCTCTAACTTAGAAAACTACATGGATAGGAATTACTAAGATTGACGAGACAATAATACATAATACTTTAATAATCTGTAATTATAAAAATATATATAATTATGTAAATGTATATCAATATATTTGAAAGCTTATGATGTAATATGATTGATGTATAAGAGATTTCTAAATTAAATACATGTTTTGAAGTTAACATTTCTTTAAATATACATATTTTAGATATACATATTTTAATAATAGTTATTTACTCATAACTTGATTTTTTAACTGTTAAACGAAACTAAAAAACGACTTTTAGTGGGTTTTCCAAGGTAGAATTGTGACGGCCAATGTTCCAAGCACAAAACAAGAAAACCTGACGTTTACGGTACAAATTTTAAAATATGTCAACACTTACAACATTTTTAACTTTCTGCTTATACAATTTAACATATAACATATAATACACCATCTAAATACATTCTTCAGAGATAAGAATCGTATTAGTAAAAAAGAATCATTTAACAGAATATAATACTAATTTTAGTATTATGTTATGTAAAGAACGGAGTCTCTCCCTCAAAACAGCCTATGGACTCCCATCCCGTTGGCTCATGTAGCACAAACAAAAGTGTTTTTGACGTTGAAAATAGTACGGTACGATTTTTTTAAAGGATATATGTTTTATGCAATACGTTCATAAAATTAGCTTAGTTCAAAGACATAAAAGCCCTCGGGGGAGGAGACACGAAGGTAATGCTTCCTCCTTCCAAAAAACTAAATTTTAAATCTAACCAAGATTTTACAAGGTAAAGACTTTTTAACACTTAAGCATCTGAAAATGAACAAAAGATTTTATATTCCAGTGCAACTGTTGAGATATACAATACAACATATGTTTTTGTTTCGGTACAGTATTTACAATTTCAAGCAACTGAACATGTGACTCAGAATGTCTTGTAAGAAAATGTTAGTCAAGGAAGTAGAAGCTATCAGGTGTCTGTAGCTCTTTCACTGCTGCTCGAGGCTACCGGAACCAAACTGACACCTGTAGTAGAGGCTCCAGTGTCTTGGCCTCCTGTGGCACTGGCTCCTCCACACCTCATGGCCTCCGGTCAGTCAGGGTCATAGCAACAGTCTATCCTTACGACCCACAAAACAGCAATCAGGGTAGTCACTGACAGTATCATCTCTACGACCGCTACCAGGATACTTGTCTGGGTCGTCCTGTAAACATAACCTCTAGCCAGTCAGGGTCATAGCAACAGTCTATCCTTACCACCCACAATACAGCAATCAGGGTAGTCACTGACAGTATCATCTCTACCACCGCTACCAGGATACTTGTCTGGGTCGTCCTGTAAACATAACCTCTAGCCAGTCAGGGTCATAGCAACAGTCTATCCTTACCACCCACAAAACAGCAATCAGGGTAGTCACTGACAGTATCATCTCTACCACCGCTACCAGGATACTTGTCTGGGTCGTCCTGTAAACATAACCTCTAGTCAGTCAGGGTCATAGCAGCAGTCTATCCTCACCACCTGTAATACAGCAATCAGGGTAGTCACTGACAGTATCATCTCTACCACCTCTACCAGGATACTTGTCTGGGTCGTCCTATAAACATAACCTCTGGTCAGTCATAGCAGCAGTCTATCCTCACCACCTGTAATACAGCAATCAGGGAAGTCACTGACAGTATCATCTCTACCACCGCTGCCAGGATACTTGTCTGGGTCGTCCTGTAAACATAACCTCTGGTCAGTCATAGCAGCAGTCTATCCTCACCACCTGTAATACAGCAATCAGGGTAGTCACTGACAGTATCATCTCTACCACCTCTACCAGGATACTTGTCTGGGTCGTCCTGTAAACATAACCTCTGGTCAGTCATAGCAGCAGACTATCCTCACCACCTGTAATACAGCAATCAGGGTAGTCACTGACAGTATCATCTCTACCAACTCTACCAGGATACTTGTCTGGGTCGTCCTGTAAACATAACCTCTGGTCAGTCATAGCAGCAGACTATCCTCACCACCTGTAATACAGCAATCAGGGTAGTCACTGACAGTATCATCTCTACCACCTCTACCAGGATACTTGTCTGGGTCGTCCTGTAAACATAACCTCTGGTCAGTCATAGCAGCAGACTATCCTCACCACCTGTAATACAGCAATCAGGGTAGTCACTGACAGTATCATCCCTACCACCTCTACCAGGATACTTGTCTGGGTCGTCCTGTAAACATAACCTCTGGTCAGTCATAGCAGCAGACTATCCTCACCACCTGTAATACAGCAATCAGGGTAGTCACTGACAGTATCATCTCTACCACCTCTACCAGGATACTTGTCTGGGTCGTCCTGTAAACATAACCTCTGGTCAGTCAAAGCAGCAGACTATCCTCACCACCTGTAATACAGCAATCAGGGTAGTCACTGACAGTATCATCTCTACCACCTCTACCAGGATACTTATCTGGGTCGTCCTGTAACCATAACCTCTGGTCACTCAGGGTCATAGCAGCAGACTATCCTCACCACACATTTAGCAGTTTTTGTATACTACTAAGTTAAAGGTTCTGTTATTAGTCTTGTTTTCTTACAATAGACCGTCTAATTATGGTACCCAAACCTATTCCTGAAATAATTATGTCATTAGTTGTCAATATACACGTAATTCTAGTTTATTTACTATTTGTCACGTATTTAACTTTCTTTGACGACAAAATAGGTTTGAAAGTAATCCCCAAAGTGATACAATGATGGTCTGTTTGGTGAACATACAACGGGCAACTAAATACATATATAAGGAAATGTTTAAGATATTTTAACGATATTAAGTCTTTACACGGTAACGAAAAAATATACCTTGAGTTGTCTGTGTTCTGCAGTTGGAACAACGCCTGGAAGATGAGAGCTACATGAAGGGAGCAAGCTGCCAGCCAGAGAAGAGTAAGGGACGTCGCTGCAGCAGGACTTGGACCCAGAAACCTGAGGGAAGTATAGGGGCAAGAACCTGGACGATACCCTCCAAACCCACGACTACTGTGTATGCTGCCACCTGGATATAAATAATGTGACGTTATGAAATTATTCAAAATGTTCATAAACGCAGTACAAAATAAGCTAATTGAGTGAATTTTATTTCGGAGAAAAATACCTAAATCCAATAAACGTAATTCCTAATAAAGTACAAACAATGTTGGAACAAATTCATGGGTCAAAATAACACAAAAATCAATAATCACATTTTATTCAAAAACACATGGTTAACATTCGTCATTTAGGTTTTTTGTTGCATAAACTGTTGTTTTTAAAACCATTTAATATTCGTTTATGAAGATTGTTATTTTTTTGTCCTAGGATGCTAGACACGGGCCTGGGATTGTTTTTCGCATTACTTAAGGCTAGACCTAGGGGTTGTGGCATTATCACTTAGATAAAATCCATTGGTGATTTAGCGGGATTTGAAACCGGAACCTCAGGAACGGAAGTCCCGCTCTCTAACCACTAGACCAGCTCGCTCTTCAATGAAATTCGGTATACGATTGTAAAAAATCATAAGCTATTTGAAAAAATAATTGTAAAAAATAGTTTTATATCATATATTACTTTAAAGATTTGAATTTAAGAAACAAAACAAATTGGTAGATATTATATAATTTTGATTTTAGTTGTATTTAGAACGATTGAATCTATTTCTAAATGTTTTGTATTCATGGGACACCCTGTATATCACAAGGGAACGCCTTAATAGTCTTTGACAGGCTCCATGTTTTCTCGAATGCGATACATTTTTCAAAAGAGTAAAACATCAAAGATTTGAAAGAAAGCATTGTCCTATTGAACCACTCTCAAATTGTTATAGTAATGAAAAAAGTTAGAAATCTTTAATCGATAAAGAAGTTTCTGAAAGTAATATTTAAGAAATGTTATGTGTAAAAAGTGATTATTTGTATTCTGAGAGATTTTGCCATTTTACCTGCTATATTATTGTAATTCCCTTTATCAGTATATTAATTCAATGAACAGAAAGTAAATAAAATAAGTTTAATAACACTTGAAACACATGTTTACACTTACATTGTTGACTCACAAGACGGTAAATCCATATAAAAGATGTTAAGGGTGATCGATTCCAACTGTCATTCGCTTATTGGGTCTGATGATGATTGGAGTGTCCAATCGGAATCAACTACCACTTAACATCTTTTATACGTGTTTACCGTCTTGTGAGTCAACAGTAAAAGCGTGTTATTAGACGTATGATAGTAAATGATGAATTAATAACAATATTTGAAGGTAAAAAATATGAACATACAACAAACAATCCCATGAATTATATCCCTATAAACTTAGCAACACATTGTGAGAAAATAACATCAGTAAAAAAATATAATTTATGAAAAACATGAAATGCAATAACAACTGTAGCGTACTCGATCAAAATTAAACTAAATTAATCTTTATACAATTAAATTGTTTGGAATACAAATGAATAATTACAATGCGTCTTCTTGTAACAAGAGAAAAACAACAACAGATGATTAGACAAAGAAGTGACAAACAATGTACAGTACTTACTGTATTATCCATTTATATCTCATTAAAGATGTCTTTCTTCTGTAGTAAACTTTAAAAATATATTAAATGACTCTTCTTTTTTTTCGTCGTACGGTTACATGGCTCTACTTTGAGCGTAGGTTTTCGCAGACTGCCATAGAACCCATCCATGTTTTCTGTGTCTATTGCACCGCGTCCTCAGGCAAAATTCACTGCAGACATGTCTTTATTTCAAGTGCAGTGAATTTCGTCTGGCTCCTTTAATTTGAAAGATCAATATAATTGCTTAGCTATTTTTGTTAGTAAAGTTACTTGAATTCTGGCAATTCAGAACAATAAATTAGAAATTATTTACTCGCCTCTAAATTTTGAAAGTTGAGAAATTTATTCTAAAGCCTTCAGTTATAGGTGGACTTATGTGAGTATATCAACAGTCATCGAGATAGTAGTTAACGCAACGATCGCTTAAAGACTATTTACACGAGTTGCGTACACTACTTCACCTACGACCGTTTTTTTAATAACCTCTCCTAACAATCACTACTCATAACTCCTAACAATCACTACTCATAACTTAGAGAGGTTATGTTTTCGTTTATAGCATCTCATCGCCACTGATAGTTATGCAACGACTCATTGTACCAACCACTAATTGCACCACTCATTAACAATTAAATTGGTCTTAACAGCTGATAAGTTGACATTTGAAGCATTACAATTTTACTTCTTTTCTCTTAATTCTTAAACATCATTGTCCGTTGACCGTTACCAGTGCTGTAAATTTAAAAAAAACATTGTGGTAAAGTGAATATTTTCAATTCTAAGAACTGAATTGAAAGGGCTAGTTTAAAACGGTCGTGGGTAAACATAATTTACAGGTTGGTTTGTAAGCAGGGACATCGAACTACAACGATTTTTGTTGGAATCCACCGAAGATAATATTGTTCTCTCAATCTGTATATGAAAAGCTTCTAAATACAGTGTTTCCTGTAACTGTGTAAATAGTATTATTTTGGAACAATAAAATTCAACCACCATGACACTTGTCTGCAGGCATACAACGGCCTGTCTCAGCATTTGTCGTTTAATTAAAACGAAAGAGTCCATTAGACCCTACGATAAGCGATTTCATTTCCATTTTTAAGCATTCTAACCTTATTCTTGTAAAAGCTTTTAACACAAACCTTATTGACTTTTGTTTCAATTTGAATAAGAATTACTTGTAATTAGTTGCTGACATTTAAAAGGCTGTAATGCATAGTGTATACTTAACAAAAAAGAAGACCGTGATTCTTTAGAAAGACACGTTGAACACTATTTAGAAATATTTTAACTAATGGAACTTTAACTAATTATATATTATCTAGTTATATTCAGTATCATTGAATACATTTGGTGTGATAAAGCAACATCACATTAGACATTTGTAGAAATATTAAATATATAATTTTTTTCCTGGGACGCTAGGACAAAAAAAGGTTTGTCGCTACACAAATAATATAAGGTTGCTTTATAAGAGTTTTAAAAGCTTCAAAACTCAAAATTGTCAATGACCATTTTCGTCTATAATATGATGCCAGCAAGAATACCAAAGCTAAGCCTGGTAATTTTAGATGCGTACTTGGACTTACCAGCAGCTACAACTGTGAAGATGACAGCAGGACACAAAAGCTTAGTCTAGTCATTTAGATTCGTACTTGGACTTACCAGCAGCTATAACTGTGAAGACTCCAGCAGGAAAAGGTAGCTTTATAAGAGTTTTAAAAGCTTCAAAACTCAAAATTGTCAATGACCATGTTTCGTCTATAATATGATGCCAGCAAGAATACCAAAGCTAAGCCTGGTAATTATAGATGCGTACTTGGACTTACCAGCAGCTATAACTGTGAAGATGACAGCAGGAACACAAAAGCTTAGTCTAGTCATTTAGATTCGTACTTGGACTTACCAGCAGCTATAACTGTGAAGACCCCAGCAGGAATACCAAGGCCTAGTCTGGTGATGGAGGTGCGATCCTCAATGCAGGACACTGAGCCCATTAGAAGAATACATATTCCACAAACTATCTGTAAAGTAATTTTCTTATTAGATTTCTTAACAGTTCGTTAAGGTAACATGAAAACTCAGTGTGCATATCTTTATCATTCTTCCTGTACTTTCGTTAATAGAGGAACTAATCAACTAGTAAAATACAAAATGTTAAAGGAACGAGACATTGTTCAATGCGTAAGCCTCAGTTGCTGATGAAGAATGAAAAGCGATTGGTGGATTCCAGTAATAATAATTTATTTTTATGAGGTTGATTAATTGACCTGGTAAATTTGATCGGGACCTGAACGACAGGAAATAAATCATATGTACGAAGAAGGCATGAGACAAGAAAGCCCCACAAAATGTCGAAAGACTTGGAAGCAGCAATACTTAAAACAAAGAAACGCTAAGTTGAAATATGACAGCGCAGTCCGACAACAAGGTTCTCTTATGAATGTGTGTTGAGTTCAAACACATACCGGTATGGCTGCTAGCATGTTGTTACATGAAACCTGTTTTAACAATCAATTACTGACCCAAGCATATTAAATATGGGTCAACATTTTGTTTTTGTGAAGAATCTAGTGTATGGAATGTCCTGATAGGATAAGAGAATGTGCTTGTTTTCGAACAGGGTGTTCTGGAAACTGCGGTACTGCTGCTCTTACAGTACTCTTTAAATATATATTTGTACTGTACATACATGCTCAATATCTAATACTGGCAATATTAGTCAATATACCTGCAACACTCTTAACCTAAGGACTTGAGAGAATGGATAGAGAGAATCAGTTGGGGTCCAAAGTGAAGTAATTTGAAGTTTGGTTACAATCGATGGAAGGCCTTCTGTAGTTCTGGTGACGTCACTGACCACGGAAGCCTTGCGGTAGTTCATCCTGTCACAGAAAGTAAAGAAGAGTTAGGCAAAAAATATTGTTAGAGATCCTTGGTAGTTCTAGTGATGCCACTGGCCATGGAAGCCTTCCGGTAGTTCATCCTGTCACAGAAAGTAAAGTAGAGTTAGGCTTGATAATATTGTTGGAGATCCTGGTAGTTCTAGTGACGTCACAGATCACAGAAGGCTTCCGGTAGTTCATCCTGTCACAGATCAAAGAGTTAGGCTTAGTAATATTGTTTGAGATCCTTGGTAGCTCTGCTGACATCACTTCCGTTGGTTTATCCTACTACCACGCAATCCTGTACATGTTGATAAGATTTTTAGTCTTTGAAGACTGTTGTAAACTTCTTTCAAGTTTTAACTCAAAATGTGCATTTCTCGAACGATCTAATATGTCAGTTAAATGAATGTTCCTTCCAGATATTTAGGAGAGGTAGTGTGGCAATAAAATGTGATGCTGCAACTATTCATGATATTGATGCACAGTATAATAAAGAAAACATACGATTATTTTCTCCATGTTTTGTGATTCATTAAATGACCACAACTTAGTTGGCTGGAAAAACTATATTGGCCAACGTTTCGGATGGATCGCTGCGACGCATCCGAGACGTCAGCATTTTCGTCATTTCGTCGGTAATCTGCCAAAGATCAAGATAATACAGTCTGCTTTGACGTTGTGTTTACATTGAAATTAAATATATTTATTCATAACATTGAATTTGTTTGGCCTCACCAAGTTTACAAAACTTGTCGGAGAGGTCCAATTAATGCAAAAGCAACAAATTTTACAGTATTTTTTTTTATTTTTTTACAAAGATTTATAATGTTACTAGTAGTCCAGGCAACGAAGACAAAAAATACCAAATAGAGGAACAAAATTATATTTAAGCCACATTTGGTGCATTTTTAGAGGAAGGGTCCCCAAAACAACATACCTACCCTAACTGACAACTTTAATTTAAGAAAATATTACAAATATTACTGTTCTTGTGAGCTCACCAACGCCATTTTGGACCTTATTTTGTATGATTAAAGTGTCAAATTGCTGGAAATGTTTTCAAGATAACGAGAATATCGGTTATATTGACCTTAGATGGATAGGCTTTGCCACTTTTAGCATTTATTTTTCATACAAATTTACATGTATTTCTTATGGAAGAAATATTTGAATAAGATATTTGTTATATCTTGTAAATGGTTGAATCGAAATAGTTGCATCACATATTTTTATTTTAGGGAATTTAATCTTCTTCAATTTGCTAATTTAGTATTGTATACAAAAATTTGATAGTTTTAAAGCTATTTACTAAAGCCCTAAAAAAGGGACCTTTAGCTAGGCTCCCTTAGCTCGACTCCAACCGGTCTGTACTTTTAGGATGTTGTTTAGGGACCCTTCCCGTACAACGGTACCAAATTTGGCGTATACATGACTTTTTTCCGCTACAATTTCTCCGTTGCATGGACTATGGCAGACACGGCACTATGGCAGTTGACGGTGGTTTATGGCAGACACTTCATAAAACATAGAAAACGTCACAAGTGAACAAGAACACCAACTTGTCCATCCACTCACTTAGCAATAAGATTTTATCACCTACAGGTCTATTATATATGGAGCATACGAAATTGCACTAAATTATGGCAATACGAGAAAACGGTAAAAACAAAAAGAATAAACCAGTTTCGTTAAGAACCACAAACGAGGCAAATATTAGACGTAGCATTGTGATTTTAGAAAATATAATGAATATAATATTTTTAACGGATAATATAGTGCACACTCAGAGACACTTATGGGTTTATCGGAGTTTGATAAAATCGTAAATAAATAAATATAATAACTTACTTTAAAATTGCATATTCAACTGTAATAACGATCCCTTTAAATCAAACTCGCATTTCTTTGGTAATATTAACCGTCTAGTACAAAGAGATTAAAGAAAAGTCGTAACTTTATCTGATTACACACGCTGAAAAGCAGTTTTAAAATTCAGGACGCGTATTGCGCTTGAAGGAATTTCAATTTCATTGAGTAATTAGATTTTATTGCTTGTCAGACATGAAAACGTGACAATCGTATCTTTTCGGTTCCATAACTTTAATTTTAAAGGTTGGTACTCGTGTTTGAATGTAGCTTGATAAAACTTGAGGTTACAACATTCCAAAAAGTAGTTATTGTAAGACTCGTTATTGTAAATACCAATATTAATTTGAAGGGTTTATACTTTTTAAATAAATATTTCAAAATTTTATAATAATTTTTATCTAAAAGAACCTCCATTACGAGAAATTTGCAAACTATACGAATTCCTGGTTGCACAACCAGCTTTTAATGAAACAGTTTCATAATAAAAATGTAAATTTAGAGTGCCATGCCCAGTGCTTGGTCTAAATCAAATCGGTTAGTAAGTACTCATGTTTGTGGCTACGAGGAACATTTTTTTAAATCAAATTTCGAAACATCTAATTAAATATACAAAATTCCCACGGATCAATGAACAACAAATCTAAAGAAAATTATTTTCTCTCATTTTTGTTTGTAACATGAAAGTCAAGTACTAAATAAACAAATAAAATAATTAGGATGAATAAATAAAGAAATACAAAACCTTATTTAATAGACAATTTCACAATTAATCTCGACATTTCAAACTATCTAGTACAGTTGTCGTTTCTTTATAAAAAGAGGTACAAGACTCTGGCTTACCTTAAGAAGATAATACTTTACAAGTTCTACTTTACAAATAAGCCAAAGTTAGTCGGGGAACGTTTTGCCTTGTTTTTACACAAAAAACGTTATATTTCAGTTATCTTTTGTCCGATCTGTTTGATCTTGGTATTGTTTGATAGGGAATTGATAATGCTAAAGAAATGTATTCTTGACATTTTTTCATAGAACTAGCCGTTTTTGAGTTATTCAAGTTAGAAAAATTTTAACGGCCGCCATTTTGAAATTTACAATCGGAACAACTTTATTATTTTTTTCTATCATAGGTCTTGTGTATGTTAACATGGTTACCAAATTTCATAATCATCGAACGAAAAACATCACAGATAAAAATATGTTTGTATAAAAAACAAAATTGCGGATAACTGGGTAAATATGCATTTTTGGACATACCTTCACATAAACTTTTTTCTTCCTTTTAGTATGAGGATTCATTTCTCAAAGTCCTGAAACGTTTTTTTATGGACACCTGTATAGCAAGCTGGTCTAGTGGTAGAGCGCGGGATTTCGGTCCCTGAGGTCCCGGTATCAAATCCCGCCAAATCAGCAATGGATTATATCGAAGTGATATTGCTGCAACCCCGAGGTCTAGCCTGAATTTATCTGAAAAATGATCCCGGGCTTGTGCCTAGCGTCCTTAGACAGAAAATACACACTTAAAGGAGAAAAGAAAACCCTGGGAAATGGTCAAGAGAGACACAGCCAATATACTCAAATAAAGCAAGAGGAACAGTCAACCTTTGTAGTGTATAATATATGAACTTAAATAAGTATCCTACTTAAAGACAGTACATGAAAAGATTTAAGTTAATAAAACATGAACCTTAATAAAAGGTTCTGTTGGACTCAGTTAGTTACAGCTAGTTCTTCTTGTGTTTCTGGGTTAGTAAAAATGTGGCAAACATTTGCTTAGTTTCTAATCTCACAAAATCATTAATTATTCCACAACATTGAGCATTATGCACATCCAACCCCATCATTAATCATTAGCAGCTTCATCCTTCGTTCTTGTAATCGGTTTTGAATATTGTATAGAGTACTGCAATGTAGGCTTAAAGCTTATGTACACGAGTATCGTACTATAGAAAAATTCTTAAATCGATCTTTTTACAGGGTCTTTAAAAAATCACTACTGGTTATTTTAGGGTATAGTTTTGTCTAAACATTCATGAGGCTAGAAATGTGATAAAATCTTGAAGTTTAATTCTTAAAGGTGTTTAGAAAAGTACTATATTTTGGGGGCAGCTTGTAGCAGTTAAACCATTAAGCTTACCAGCATTTAGTCAGTACAAAAATGTACTGAAATACTTTTAGATTTAATCCATTCATTAGGTTGGTCTAATATGGATTTAGCTGGTGATTAGAAATGAATCCAACCCAAATTGAGATTCTATTTACATCAGAATTGAATTATTGAGCTAGTTAAGCCTGAGGGTTTAATTAGCTCTTGTAGTAATGTTCGCAGCGTAATTCTTTCTTAAGATCCCTCGAAAGTAAAAGTAATTGATATGCTTCTTCAATGATGAATAGCATATAAATGTGGTCATGATATGGCATATACGCCTCATATGGCATATATGTAATTGAGCATATACAGGCTTTGCGATTACAGGTAATTATTTTAAAATTAAATTTATCAAGTCCAATAGTATCAAGTGAATAGTACTAAGCTGCTTGAACCTCTCCTTGAAGCAACTATTCCTATTTTTAAGTCAAAAGTTTACTCATGGCTGTTAGAAAATCCATTTTACACTCTTAATGAATTATTGGATTCAACTATTCTAATCTAACCATTAGACTAAGCTTATTTAGCTACTATTACTTTCACCTTTTTATTTTTCTTACTCTGTGATTTTTTTATGTTAGACCTATATAAAGGTCTAGTTCTAATTTGACTATGCCTATTTCAATAAATGATGGATCAATGGCAATAAAGAATCTGATTCTGATTCTATTCTGTATATGTTTCAGACAAACGACGCCATTTTACTAATTAAGAAAACAAATTTTCCAAATCTTGTTCTACGTCATTTTTTGAATCAAAATTTTACATTTTTTACTGAAACATAAAACATATTCTAAACATTTTGTAAAAAAAATATGTTCGTGAAATGGTAAAACCTCTACAAAAATTAAGCAGTAAATTCGTATTTAATTACCCTGCGCTATATTTTTTTTATCTAGTCTAGATAAATTCTAATTATTTATAGGACTTGAAATTTCAAAAGAGTGAGTTAAGAACGTAAATAAAATAATTAAATGCCTAA